TGTTCGGAGTCCGAAGGGGATCTATCCCGAGCCGAAACGGACCGCCTCCGTTGAGTCCTCCTTGGAGGAGGAGGCGAAGGTGATGCCGGGGATTCCGGAATCAGGTTGTTAATGAAATTTACAAGCTGAGGTGCAATCTCAGCTTGCAGAGATGGACTATTGTCCAGCCTTTTAATCAGGCGAAGAAGTAGTGCCTGAAGGGCCATGATGGAATGAGCCTATGCTCCTACTCCTATCTGTATTAAAGGGCAGTCCCAATATGCTCCCTCCCTGGGTATCTTCCTAGCACCTATCACCAAGAAGAAGATACCCGAACAAACTTGGTGGTCTGGTGCAACTGCCTTTTGGCCTGAGGGGCCCTATAATCCTAACCCTCCGAGGGGTGAACTCGGAGGTGTGTACCCTCCCTACCGGGTGTAGGCAGGGAGGTGAGTACCTACTGGTGTACCCTAAGCTTGTAATCCCGCTACCAATCTTAATGTGTAGCGGGTTCCTATGCGCCGGTTCGCTGTTAGGCGGCCGGCGAAGCTGTGAAGAGAACGGGTTAAGTACTGGGTACAACTAGGGGAGCCCCCAAGGTTATGGTCCCAGCACCCTTCCGATAATTGGCAATGTCCTGAAGGGACAAGGCCGACGTACTCGGGGCGCACGCCACCTGGATCGTTGACACCGTAAGGTTTCCACCAGGTACCGCGAAACTGCGGGTTTAAAAATCAACGTTTCGACTCTGTACGTGTTCACAGAAGCGTGACTGAGAACGCGCCTTGAAAAAGGCACGCACCAGCAAAGTCCTCGTAGCTCTGTCACGAAACAACTGCTACGACGTAGCAGAGTTCGTAGCAGCGCTACGCAGCGGAGGCGTGGTCTGATGTCCGGCGATGGCGCTACGGCGTGGCGCGGAGCGTAGCAGAGCTACGCTAGTGCGGAACTCGTAGCGATGCAGGGTGGAGACGTGCGTTCGCAGCGGGCGTCAGGAGCGGCCAACGGCCTAAAAAGCCAACGCGACGAAGTCGCGACTTTCCTTCGCGACCACCGCGTTGACATTCTCCTAATTCAAGAGACCTTCCTCAAACCCCATATTCGAGACCCGAAAATTGCGAACTACAGGTTAGTCCGCAACGACAGGTCTCACCGTCACAAAGGAGGTACTCTGATTTATTATAAAAACTCACTGCATTGCATCCCTATGGACCCGCCGCCATTAAAACATCTTGAGGTTTCGGTCTGCCGACTGGGCATGACAGGCCATTGTCCCATCACCATAGTCTCTGCGTATCTCCCTCCACCACCCACCTCATCCTCTGAGGCCTTGGAGATCAACAACGCACTAAGAGACGATTTATCAGCTCTCTTCGGCTTGAGCGACTCCGTCATCCTGGCGGGTGACCTCAACGCCAAGCATCCCGCATGGAACAGTCACACTGCAAGCCCCCGCGGCAAAGTAGTGTTTGACCTTTGCTCGACACTGTCTTTCGATGTCATCGCTCCGATGCATCCCACTCATTACCCGCTAAACCCCGATCACCGGCCGGACGTGCTAGATGTCGCCCTTCTCAGAAATGTAAACCTGCGTTTACACTCTGTGGAGGCGATCGACGAGCTCGACTCCGACCACAGACCGGTCATCCTGGGTTTAACGCCTAGAACGGGTCCTTCAGACCCCGAACACACACCTCCCACCCGAGTGATTACCGACTGGGGGAAAGTACGCGATTCGCTGAAATCCTCCAACTCGGCTCACCTGGACGGGATACCGGACAACATCGTGTCTGCCGCAGACACGGCGCTCGCGGTCGACTCCCTCACGAGGCACGTACAGTCCGTCCTGAACGAGTGTTCGAGGGAGGTGCCAGCGGTGAGCGATCATCGCTGGAAACTCCCTGACGATGTGCGTGCCCTGGTGGCGGAGAAGAACGCGGCCGTTCGTGCCTACAGGGCTTTTCCTTGCGTTAGCAACAAGACTCATATGCGTTACTTACAGCGCAAAGTAAGTAACAGCATAGCCGAGTTACGCGAAAAACGCTGGGACAAGACCCTAAGCGAGCTAGAACCCAACCACCTGGCGTTCTGGAGCCTTCAGAGGAAGTTGCGCTCCCCAGTCACCACGATACCGCCCCTCACACGACCGGACAAAAGCATCGCCTTCGACGATGAGGACAAAGCCGAATGCCTAGCCGACAGCCTGGAGCTTCAATGCTCTCCTAGCACCCAGCCAACCGATCCGGCCCATCTCGCTAGAGTGGACGCCGAAGTAGAACGCAGGTCTGCTCTGCCTCCGATAGAGGACCCTGACACCCCCCTACCTCCCGTCACCCCAGACGAAGTAGAGGAAGTGATCAGAGGACTCCACCACAGAAAAGCTCCAGGGCGGGATGGAATGACAAACAGGGTCTTTAAGCTCCTCCCCGCCCAGATCATTGTACTTCTGGCTGCCATCTTCAATGGCGCCATGACCCATAACATGTTCCCACAATCGTGGAAAGAGGCTATCGTGATTGGTATCCCCAAGCCCGGTAAGCCCAGGTCTTCCCCGAGCAGTTACCGCCCCATCAGTCTGCTCAGCGCCTTCGGCAAGATCTACGAGCGACTTATTTATAAGCGACTCAAAGATTACGCCGAGGCGAAGAGCCTAATTCCATCACACCAATTCGGCTTTCGAGCCCGCCATTCTAGCGTTCACCAGGCCCACCGCATCGTCGAGTTTGTCAGCTCTCGCTTTCAACACGGCATGATGACGGGGGCTCTATTTTTCGATATAGCGAAAGCATTCGACAAAGTCTGGCACAATGGCTTGATTTTCAAGCTATACCAACTCGGAGTGCCAGACCGCCTCGTGCTCATCATTCGAGACTTTCTGTCGAACCGCACCTTCCGCTACCGCATTGAAGGCGCACTGTCAACCTCGCGCCCAGTCAGGGCAGGCGTCCCGCAAGGGGCCGTACTATCGCCCCTCCTTTTCACGCTTTACACCAGCGACATACCAACTCGACCACGCGTAGAGCTCTCCCTGTTCGCAGACGACACGGCGATCTACTGCGCGGGCCGCAGTCCAAACTCCATAGCCCGAACCCTCCAAAACTCCGCAGCCGCACTAGGCGACTGGTTCCGGAGATGGAGGATAGAAGTCAATCCGGACAAAAGCCAGGCGGTACTGTTCGTGAAGCCGCGTATCCACCAACCTGATACGCCTACACCCATAACCATGTTCGGCAAGCCTATCCCCTGGGAAAAGCAAGCCAAGTACCTCGGAGTCATTCTCGACCATCACCTGAATTTCAGAGAGCACATCAAGACGGTCCGTTCGCGAGCCGCCTTCGCCCTCAGTAGACTATTTTCAATGCTGAACCCACGCAGCAAACTCTCACTGAAATGTAAACTCCGTATTTACACTACATGTATACGACCGATAATGACGTACGCATGCCCGATCTTCGCGCATGCACCACCCCGAGCGATCCATAGGATGCAAACGCTACAGAACCGCTTTCTCCGAAGGGCCGCGGGCGCACCCTGGTACCTAAGGAATGACCGACTACACGTCGACCTCAAAATACCGACTTTGAAGCAATTCATGAAACGCTTGTCAAAGCGTTACTTCGAATCCGCCGAAAAGCACCCGAACCCCCTCATAGTATCGGCCGCCCGATACAAAACATCCCAGATTTCCAAAGTTCGCCGTCCTCGGCATATTCTCGAAGAACCAGACGACCCTATCACCATCCTACAAGAGAGCCGTAGGGATACCAGCACAATTCGTAAATACAAATACAGACCGTGTTCCGTATTCCGGCCTCGCCGCCGAGGCCCACCGCGACGTCCCAGTAACGTTAAAAACCGATCATTGCTAAACGAGCCAGCCCGCGATGCTGAGCCAATACTAATAATAAATACTCGCGTAAATAATCCGACCCAGCCTGATTTGACTTGCTGCCCCTCCCCAATGACCCCGCCGAGCCGAGGTTCGAACCCCACAGGGGGTGCCCTCAGCGATGCGGTCATTTAGCTTAAGTAGTATTTGTTGCCCTGGCTGGGGGCCTTAACTTATAGAGGCCACCGCAGGGATTAGTCCGGTTAAGTAGTTAAAAAAAAAAAAAAAAAAAAAAAAAAAAAAAAAAAAAAAAAAAAAAAAAAAAAAAAAAAAATTGGTTGGGCATTCTGAATCCAGCAGTACTACGAAAAGGAATATAAAAGAAGAACTTAAGGAAAATAAAAGAAGAACTTTACAATCAAGGAAGTGTTTATTCTGAACGCCGACACCTCTTGCCAAGCTACTCCCGCCAGCGCAAAATAAATTCGTTCTACAGCCTCAGCTGCAACACCAGCCATGTTTGGTGTTTCGTTTGCGATTGTGAAAAGTTTAGGTAAAAAGCCTAACAAAAGCCGGACAGGCCGGACACCGTTTATTTTGGCCGGACTAGCAATCAAAAAGCCTACCTATGTCCGGCTTTATCCGGACGCCTGGCAACGCTACTCGTAGAAGTAGTTATCTAGTATTTTCGCCGTTTTTAAGCGCCGCGATGTTGGTTCATGACGTGTCTATATATAATACGTCATTGTATCTAGTAGAAAATAGTTATCTACTGCTTAGGATGAATATTTGATGATTATAAAAATTGATTCTAATGGTCCGACTAGCTGAAAACTTATGCATTTTGTGTTTTAGTCCGAATAAAACTTTATTCTTATACTATTCTCTGTACCGTAGACAGCTAATTCTCTGTCACCGCCTCAGGTCTACACGCTGTACTTATCAGTTGCCATTGACGTTTTTACATAGATTTTGTATTATATTGTCTGTGCGTGTTTGTTTAGATAAATAACATTGAACATATCGGCAGTTCTGTTATCATGTGTGTAAACATTGCTGTCTGTATTATTTATAGCATAAAATGATAGTTAAAAGTTGATAATGAAATACGTAATAAAGTAGCCTGTGATAATGAATGTTTCCAATAAACGAGAAGACCTATTATCTTTAAGTAGAGAATTCATTATCAGTATTTATACTTTGTTCACCTTCTTTACAAAGCAAATAGTGGGAATAAGTTTACACAAAAATGTCTAAACATGTTGTTTTTGACATGAGAAAGATTTTCGCAAGTAGTGTATCTGCAGTGCTTCCTGAAAACCTAATTAGAAGATTCGTAAAATATAACCCTTCAAGCCATCAGTTAACTATAGACGGGGAAAATGTTTGCTTACGTAATAAAAATGTTCATTTGGTCGGAAGTGGAAAAGCCGTGCAAAACATGGCCAAAGAAGTTGAGAACATTTTGAATGGGAAAATCAAACATGGAATTATAAGTATACCTGAAGGCAGTCTAAGTTATAAGTCAAAAAATGAAAAAGTATTTTACTGTGAAGGTGCACTGAACAATCTACCAGATGCTAAAGCTTTAATAACAGCAAAAGCAATCAGAGATCATGTCACAAATCTTGGATGTGATGATTTGCTCTTAGTTTTGTTATCTGGAGGAGGCTCAGCTCTTTTGCCTTTACCTAAACCTCCCATTGCTCTAGATGAGAAAACAAACCTAATAAAGCAATTAGCCAACAGTGGAGCAGAAATAAAAGAGTTGAATACTGTCAGGAAACGGATATCAGATTTGAAGGGAGGTCAATTAGCGATTAAGGCTCAACCGGCCCAAGTCATATCATTGCTATTATCTGATATTGTGGGAGATCCCCTAGACTTTATAGCAAGTGGACCCACTACAGAAAATACAGATGAACCAGCTGATGCTTTGAATATAATCAAGAAATATAAATTAATGGATAAGCTTCCAGAATCAATCAAAACTGTTTTAAATGTCAGTGATGTCAAAGATCAATTTCCTTGTAATAATGTTAAAAACTATATTATTGGATCAAACAAAATTGCTATAGCAGCCGCTTTGGAAGAGGCAAGGAAATTAAATTATCTAGCTTTTCCTCTGTCTAATGAAGTTACAGGAAATGTGAAAGAAGTTGCCTCTGAATATGTCAGACTAACAAAACATTTCTGTGACTATCTATCTGGTGATTTAAAATTAGAAAAATTAAAGAAATGTGTCAAAGCTTGTAACATTCCTGGAATTCATGAGAAGAATTTGGAAGACTTTAATAATATAACAGCTAAAGATAAGAATTTGTGCTTGATTCTTGGTGGAGAAATTACTGTAAATGTAAAAGGTTCTGGGAAAGGAGGCAGAAATCAACAATTAGCTTTAGAATTTTCTGAACACATACATCATAAGAAAGATGAGTTCAAGAACTTTGATGTTTACTTTTTGAGTGCTGGTACTGATGGAATTGATGGCCCAACTGATGCTGCTGGTGCTATAGGACATCTTAATTTAATCTCTGATGCTAAACAGAAGAACATTGACTACCAGAGGTATTTATCCGAAAATGACAGCTACAATTTCTACCACAATAATTTTGATGGCAAGTTTCATGTTATTACAGGCCATACAAACACTAATGTAATGGATATACATATCATAGTTATCAGTAGGGAAACAAGGAATCAATAAATTTTATATTTTTATACACATTGTTGTATTTATTATGAAGATGGTTTTAAAAATAGACTCAATACACTTTTTTTTGTTTCTTCTTTAGATTTCAGTTTTGCTGAAGCTAAAACAGCCTGTTGGCACAATCCTGCGAACTTGTCCTTTCTCTTTTTATTATTCTTAATAACTTTAGGTGGCTCCTTGGTGACCAAATTATTATTTTTATTTTTCAATGAAAATACATCCAATGCACTGGTATACACATTAATTTCTTTCTTTTTGTCTGGTTTACTGATCTTTGAAGTTTGTTTTGGTGAGTTACTTTTAGTTTTGGGTGTTTCATTTTGCTTGATTTTGGATGTATTATCCACTTTGGTATTTTCACTTTCAGTGACTTCTTTTTGTGGCTTCATAGAAGTAATGAATGTACTCTTTTTGCAGAATGTACAAATTTGTTCCTAAAAAAAACATAAGGTTGAATGAACATATCATGTGCATTCATATTTAAAAAAGTTGGACTTACATCTGATAAATAGGTACTTACTATTTTATTACAATTTACTAAATTTTGTTTCCGTCTTATACATTCTTTCTTGCTTTCTTTCACTTTACGAGATTTCAGTCTCTTCTTTTGTCGTTTCGATAATAATATAGGGCAAACCTGTAACAACAATGTACTTACCATTAGTCATTGGCTATTTTGTCATGAAAATGTATTTCCAACTCTAATTCAGTAAGTTATTTAAATAACTCAAATTAAGTTAATATCAAAATCAAAATGATTATTAAGATTTACCTTAACTTCAGAGTTGTTCCATTCCAGACAACATTTAGGACATCTTATCTTCGTAGCGAAGTACTTATCGGGAAGACCGTATCCTCGTGTGATTTCCTTGCAGCGCATTCTTAAAAAGGCCAGAAAGGATATTACATTGCATTAACAGAAATCTTTTAAAGTTAAAATCAACTTATGATACTCACAAATAATAACTTTCCAGTAATGATTTTGGTTCATCATTACCTAAACGCGACACTACAGAAGCTATGTTATACAAAAAACCAACTTGTATTTCCGTCATTGTAAATTAGTAATTTAAACGAAATATCACAATGTTCATTTATCTTGGTAATATTTACAAGGTCCTGCCTTTGTTTATGTTCTTTAATTTAATTTTAAGGTTATTAAACCACGTTCCTTTATAGGTACTTTTTTTTGGAGTTTATGGCGTTCCTTTATACTCTTTCCACTTCACCACAGATTATGTATTACCCTCCAACTTTCTAAGCAACGTCAGCGAAGAAACTTAAACATTAGAACGCGCCTAAGACCATAGAAAAATAATCTCACAAGAAACACTCTGCACAACAACTCATTGTAAAACCATTTAATTTAACATCGAAGTGCAATTTGCTTACTGCCTGCCGAGGTATTCGCTTATATAAACATAATACGCATATTGGTAGAAATGTAATAATCTATTTATTAATAGACTAGCTACTCTCACGCAGTTTCACCCGCAGCTCTCCTACAGATCGTAGCATGATGTTTTATACCCTTTTAGCTTTCCTCGATAAATGGACTAACAAACAAAAAAAGAATTGTTTAATTTGAACCAGTAGTTCCTTAGATAAGCGCATTCAAACAAACTTCTGCTTTATAATAATATTAAATTACGCGATATTTGTCCCGCCAGTAGCCTATCACTTCAAAACTGTTACCAGGCAGGACTAAAAATATACTGTGCGTCTGTCGTGATGACCTGAAGGTTAACGCGCCCGCTTCTCATGCATTAGAGTGCGGGTTCAGCACCTGGCAAGCCTACCGATACCAATGTGACTTTTTCTAAGTCATATGTACTAATTTGTTACTGTATTACAATACCATTGACCGAACGGTGAAGGAAAGCATTGTGAGGAAACCTGGACTTGTAATTTCTAATTAGAAGTTTGAAACCACCAATCCACCTTGAACAAGCGTGGTGATTTATACTCAAATTTTCTCACACGAGAAGAGATCTTTGCTCAGCTGTGGACAGTAATTATAGGCTGGCAATGATGATGATTATTGTTTCGTACATTTCTATAGTAAATACAGGGATAGTCTTAATGAAATAGAAAAGAAAACGTCCCATTAATTCAGATTTCTGTGGCTTCGGCTCCTCATCATCAAAGGACTTACTACTGCTGCTGAGTTAAGGCCTTTGTTCATATTATCATATATTATCTCATCTTACTCATTTATTGTTTGAGTATTTATCAGTACGCTTGCTCAGCGCGGAGTGGCCGTTTCAAAAATATAATTTGAACTTAAGGGTCTTCAGGTTTCTTTACGATAATTTATTTCACGATATGTCCGTGGTGTCTAAATAGTTATAAAAGTACAAGGAAACGTTTCGAACTGCGGGTTCCAAATTTGTGACTTTTCCTGTTTCTCATGCATCTTCCTCTTATCCACTCCGGACTACCACAACATAACACGCTCCTCATACGATTCCCAAATGATACGCACCGAGGAGAAATTGAAAGTCGTCACCTCTTTCTGCAAAGCAGTCTTCTCGCAAAGAAGGAGGTGGAGCGCGTGAGGACACGAACCTAGCCGCTGCAGGTGTTATCCCCAAATTGTGCCACGATCTTTAACGAGCAAGGACGGCTCGCTAGTTCTGGTCGGACGACGAGCTGCCCTGCCATAAAACCACCTCAGATGGGGCCCACTAAGTTTAATGTCCAGCTGGGAATGTGGGTGAAAGCGGAATGATGTCGGGGCAGGAGAAGGAACAGGGTGGTTTTTAGTCAGTATAATTCAGACACGACCAATCTTTCACAGGGCTGTACAGAAAGTGAAGTGAAGTCATCGGATGATTTTCCATCCTTACAAAATTAATTATATTCTATATTTTTTTTAAACACGGTTTGATTATTTCTGAACGAAGTAATGAAATTCCCGCCAAAACAACTCCGTTTTACATCGTATATGTCAAAAGTTGAAAAACGCGAACGCGATTGGGAATTCGTGATCGCATTGTTACGATCCAGATTTCGCGCAATTTTGTTAAAGTTCACTTTTTAGTGCATTACCTATAAACTATTATAAATAGTTTTAACTTTCGCACACCTAAATTCATTCTAAACGATAATATACGTTAATTTTAGATGAAAAATAGTACTCATCAGCATGATGGTTGCCGACGCGCGAGAATAAAGAACAAACCAACTGATTAGTGATATTACGTGTTTTCGTTATGTATTGATTATGTGTTAAGAAATTTGTTGTCAAAGTGCGTTTAATTTTAATATTTGTGAATTATATCTACATTTTCTTTGAAAAATGGATGTAGCTGATACTTATGCCACACAAAGCCAAGTCAAAGACGAAGTAGGAGTTCGATGCCAAAAGCTTTTCCAGGATTTCTTAGATGAGTAAGTGTGGTTTTAACTTTGTTATCTATTTATCTACCTTAATTTATAATATTTTGTAATTTCACAACAACAAGTCAACAGTGAGGTTATATTTCTTTTTTGCCTTTGTAACTCAGGTTCAAAGAAGACAATGAAGTGAAGTACGAAAAAGCAGCTAAGGAGCTATTAAAACCTGAATTAAGTACCTTAGAAGTTAGTTTCGACGATGTCGAGAAATACAATCAGAATCTTGCTACCACTATAATTGAAGAATATTACAGAATATATCCATTTTTGAATCAAGCTATATTGAATTATGTGTTAAGTATTGCTGATAGTGGCGTGAAGAAGGATCTTCAAGGCAAGGAATGTTATGTTTCATTTGTTGATGTGCCAACCAGACACAAAGTGAGAGAACTGACTACTGCAAAGATTGGCACTTTGATTAGAATCTCAGGACAGATTGTAAGAACCCACCCAGTGCACCCTGAGCTAGTCTTGGGCACCTTTGTCTGTTTGGATTGTCAGACAGTCATTAAAAATGTTGAACAGCAATTTAAGGTGAGTTCATGATAAACTACTTTGACTCTTATTATATTATTGACTGTTTAATTAAATTGCTCTTACATGCTCACACAGAAAAGTAATTTAGCCAAGGCAGTGAGTTATCACAAGATTTTAATTCTAGTTTTTGTATTACAGTATACAATCCCAGCGATCTGCCGAAACCCAGTGTGTGCCAACCGTCGCCGCTTCATGCTGGATGCAGACAAATCTGTGTTTGTTGACTTTCAAAAAGTTCGCATTCAGGAGACACAAGCTGAACTCCCTAGAGGGTGCATTCCTCGCTCTCTTGAAGTTATTTTAAGAGCTGAAGCTGTGGAATCTGTGCAGGTATGGCTGTATTTATAATTTTATAATGTGTGTGGTTAAATGAATTTCAACCTCAACTGAAAACTGCCAACACTAGCCACTATAAACTGTTAAACTTAATTAGAAACCTGTACTTTAAAATTGTAACTTTATTTTTCATTTCACAAAATTTCTTCTAGGCTGGTGATCGTTATGATTTCACTGGAACTCTCATAGTAGTTCCTGATGTGGGCTCTCTATCATTACCAGGAGCTAAAGCTGAACTTACTACAAGAACAAGACAAGGGAATGATGGGCAGATGGAAGGCATCAAGGGACTGAAGGCTTTAGGAGTCAGAGAATTGCATTATAAGTAAGTTTTTTAACACATTCAGTGCCCCCGATGCGTATGTGCGTGCGAGGAAACGCACATACACGTCGGGGGCACTGAATGTGTTAAGTGAAAAAGGGCACTGATGATGCTACCATTATAATAAACTCTTCGGTGGGACCTTGAATTAAAAGGTTTTTATCTGTATAGTTTCTTATACAAAAATGATATTGAGATTTGATGATTTGTTAAGTGGCAACGAAAGCTATAATATATTTAATTATTTCATTCTTATTACAGAACAGCCTTCTTAGCTTGCAGTGTGCAAGCTATATCACGCAGATTTGGTACTGCTGAAATGGCCACTGATGACCTTACCACTGAAGATATGAGGAAGCAGATGACGGATAAAGAATGGGACAAGGTAAGACAGAATTCTCATGTCTCATTGGTTTTTAAATTGTGTAGTACATCACAATTTCAAAGTGACTGAATCAATTTGTTTTTATTCATGTATAGAAAAAAAAATATACATAGAATAGAAATTGAGATTAAAAAAAATCTAGAAGTTTCCCTTTCTAAATTTTCCATGTGTTATTAATAGTATAGTAATTATATTTTTTTTTAAGAGACAAGAATAGGGATGTTAGGGAACTCTAGGATAGCTATTGGATATCTGATATAAAAAATATCTGTGACTGAACCGAATGTGAAATAAAAGTTTTGGAAAATATTGGATAGGGGAGGAGCCTAATTGAGACATGTTATGTTCGTGCTTTACTTTTGTAACCGAAATTATCCGAAGCACACAGATAATCCGAAATAATTTTATATCCGTATATGATCCGATATGAAATTTTGGATACGGATATAGAAATGATTATAATACTGGATACAGATACGGAAATGAAATGATTTCGAATTATCGGTTAGTTTCGAATGATTTCATGCGAAAACCTTATTTTACGAAGGTCCCTAACATGCCTGGTTGTAGGTATTACAATACTATCATTGACATCAAAATACAAATTGTAAAAAAAAACTTCTATTGTGAAGCATCTCCCTCAATTTCCTTCTAAACTAATATCAAGTCATCTAGATATGATGATGTAAGATAGAAGAGAGAAGATGTAAATGTTCTGTTTTCTAGCCTATTTACTGAAATAAATTGATTGGTTCCATAGGTGTACGAGATGTCTCGCGATCGTAATTTGTACAACAACCTGATCACCAGCTTATTCCCGAGTATCCATGGCAACAATGAAGTCAAGAGAGGCATACTACTCATGTTGTTTGGTGGGGTCGCCAAAACTACAATTGAAGGTATTAATATCATGACAATGTACATGTATTTTAATGTATTTTATCATTATTATAGGATAGTTAATAGAATTCATCTCGATTCAACTCAAATTCATAACAATCCACAAAAAGTCGGGAACGCACTTGTAACTAACTTGTTAAATGTGGAAAAGCTAAGCTTCGGCACGAATGGGTTAACTCGACCGGAGTCATACCACGGTCTCACAAAAAACCGGCGTGAAACAACCACAGCGTTGTGTTTAGCCGAGTGAGTCCCTCCCTCCTTTCCCAATCCTTAAATATCCGAAACCCTTATC